ATATTTCCCTATAATAGCTATTAAATTGTCATAGTGCCAAAAAAAAAAGGTCCCTCTCTCCTTTATAATACAGATGACCACTGAAGCACATGTATGAGAGGAGTTAAAAACCAAAAGGGCAATTTTATGCTATTTGCTAGGTCCATGTTTAAATTTATAGCCTGATTTTTAGATCTGTTGTATAAAGAGAAAGAGAAGAAATTAAGGAACTTTAAGTATCAGGAAATACAACTTTGCTATTCCTTCGCAATCAAATCTTTCAATGATTCAGTATTGTTTTTACAGCCTGTCTCTACCAAGCTAGCTCAGCGGAGTCAGTGGCTGAAAAATGACCTGAGAATACAAACTTCAAGGCTAAAATTTCATCTTCCAAATGTAGAGATTTGAAGAGAGCCCTTGACTAGGATTACTTAATGCAGAACTGGTAGCCAGGATGAAAAATCCTGGACAGAAAAAAAGTCATGCTGAAATTTAAATGAAACACCAAAAGTGGGCCTTTTATGACATAGGCGACTTCTTGCACAGAATAACAGTTGCTAAAAGTAGTCCCTTATTCATGTAGAAAATTTCAACATAATTAATTCCAGTTCTGAGTAAATGCTTTGGTGGGTTGATTTAAAGAAATATACATTCTACAGGATTCATCTGTAGAATCCAATAAACAAAATAGATAAATTGTCAGAAAAAAAAAAATCACAGTTCTCAAATTTTTTCATGCAATACACATGTCTGTCTTAAATTTGGTATTTCTCATAAATAATCTCTGTTCCCAGGAGCCAAGTTCAAATGTTTTCACATAGTTGAATGTCCAGAGGTTATTCATCATTATCTGTAAGGAAAAAAAAATTAATTCACTTCATTTTAATTCAAGCAGTATCTATTTATTTTTATAGTTTTTCCTCTCTAAAGGAGGTCATTAGTTCAGTTTTAAATGTAATTTTATAATAGCACATATTTATTGTACAACATATAGACAGTATTACAAAGAATGAAGGTGGAAGTACAAATTTTCAAAGACAACTAGCGTTAAAATTAAGTTCAGAGAAAGCCTCAGACTGCCTTCTGAAGCACAAATCACTCTAAGAAAATTAGACCAAAGATGCAGAATGGAGACACGAGTTTTCCACATAAGACACAAAATAAAAAGAGAAACAAGTGCAAGTGATATGAAAGAGCAAGATTATAAATGTTCATGGTGGAGTCTCTGGTGGGTATGCCAGTAGTTTTAAACTTTTCTGTATGGTAAAAACCTCTCAATGAAATATTGTAGAACAAGTTATGCTGCTTCAATGTCAGTACAGCATTACATTTTATGAGTATGGCATAATGAAGTTAACCATTCATATTAATATAAACCACAAGAACGTTTACTCTTTTTTTCTTTTTCCTCGTCTATTTTTTAAAATTTTATCTAATTGCTTTACAGACTGATCTCAGTCCCCACCTACGAATGTTATTTTTGAAAATACTGTTGAATTAAGCACACTGATTTGCTTATCACTGCCAAAGAGCACTATCTTTCACACCGCAGTAAATGCAAGTGTCACGTCAAACACTACGCTCCGTACAGCTACCTACTTTCTATTTGCTCCCTCACTGCTTCTTAATATGTCTGCAGTGCTTTCCCTGGTCACCAGATCATGAAAATATTTTAAATATTCTCAATGTTACCAGTCTTCACTCACCTTCTCTACTGCAGTGTTTTGCATCCTTCTGTACAGGAGTGCACATATTGAATCATGACAAACTGCCATTCATCTTTGAAAATCCAGCTTTGATGTCTTCTCTGTTAGGACCCAACTGGACCCTGCCACCCATTGTTTCACCCCATATAGTGATATTAGTACTTCATGTAACTGCCAATGTCATGGAACACTCTCTAATTTACTCACTTTTATGGTTACAAATTGCCTCAGATAATCAGGAAAGCAATGAACACATACATGCCTACCTAGCATTAACAGTTAACTTTTGGTCCTACTGATTTTGATATTTAAGGAAAAGCACATTACAGGCAGTATACTTTTCCACTTTGGTGGCCTTATTTCCTAGAGACATTTTTTTTTTTCAGCACACCCAAATTAATGTATATTCTTTTTGCCTATACTTTTCAATATTATTAAACATATGCAAAAGTAAACAGGATTGTTTTAGCTGTTGCATAAATCATATCACATATGACTTATTAGGTTTGTGGATATATGTATATTGATGGCTGAAGATTTGGTTCATTCATTTGAATACCTGTATAGAATTCATTATATAAACACAATATAACACTCCACCTAAAATGAATGTGAAGGAAAGGCACATTGAAAAAAATCATGTGCTTGGTCTGCTGATGCTCAATGGGAAGACGAGGTAGTTCTGCCCATCTATCACTGGCCACACTACATTCATTCTCTCCTTGTGAAGGAACTGCTACAGTTTTAAATAACTTACACAATTATTATCTCTGGACTGCGGCTATGAACAGGCTAGGCAGTGGAAGTCATTTTAAAAAGTTTAAATTTTGTTTGTGGTGTGGGTCTACTTGTGAGCAAGTATATGTGCAGGTGCACTTGTCTGCACGGGCCTATGCCTAGAACATTAGTTGATGTCAGGGTGTTTTCCTCAGTATTTTCACCTCAGTTTTTGAGATAGAGAATATAAGTGTATAAGTACCACATATATAATATAATCTTATTATCTCTTAGAAATGCTCCAAACCACAACTAAACACAAGACAACTTGATTTGAGATCTAACTGCTCCATACAAGAAGAGCTCCCATTATTCTTAACCCAGTGAATGTCTAGCACTTAACCATCTAATGTTTAACAAAGCATATTAGCTTTTACTCATATGATATATATGAGCTTATTCAGTAGCTATACTGGTAAGTTAGAATATGTTATAGGATACACTAAGAAGTTTTTAAAGGTTGCCAGGGTCTCTATCTTGCCTTCTGCTGTATGTAAAGACAGCCACTCGGCTTTAAAACTGTCCCTAGGCTGAAGAGATTACAGTCAGGCTCTGTCAGTTCTGTTTCTACTGTGTACTACACCAAGATTGATCGTGCTTCTTGAGGGCTGTATGGCCCAGCCTAGCTTTTGGCCCTTGTAGCTGAATGGGCTTCTGTGAAGACAGGTACCCTTTAGGAACCGCTCAGCTGTGCAATTCTACCTTGTGGCACAGTTCATTGTGACAGCTCTCCCCTAGGGGAGAGCTTTTCAGACACGTGACAAACACTACAGCTTTAGCATACTGCTGCCAACTTGTGGAGAGCTGCCTGAAGAAGGACCAGTCTAAATCAGAATAGAACTTGCTAGATCTCACAGATTTACTGAAATGGAATCTCTCTGGTCTTATGCTGGTAGTTTACACAGTGATTTAAGAAATAACCTATGAAACCCACAGGTAGAAATTACAGGCTATTTCTCATTTCATTATCATACTGACAGAGTTTGAGATCTCAATAAAATCAGGAACCTGTAAGATCCAGATACTGGTTAAATTAGGGACTTTCCTCTGAATGATCAAGCAACCTTTTGTCATTTTAGGAAATAAAACATCTATTTTATAATAGTACAGCTGAAGGACATTTTCAAAGACTTAAAATTACAGTTTACACTGATATTTTGATTCCCTTTCCCCCCTTAAAGGGATCAGTATTAAACTGAATTTTAAAGAACTAAGTGAGAGCTAACCAGGCATGGTAGTAGAGAAAAAAATGAGGCACATGTGCTTGAGGCTATCCTAAAGCGCACAAGCAAGACTTTGTCTCAAACAAGAACCAAAACCAAGACAGTAAACAGACCCCTGAGAACCGTTTCTACCACACAGACTGCTGACTTCTAAAGCACTAAGTATGCTTTGCTCTATGAACTCTGACTGCAGGAGTCGGGCTTCCTGCTTCACAGTAAAGTTTTTCTAGTGTTCAGAATGGAGACCTTCTTAACTTTATCCTATTTTTACTCCATCCCTGGTCTAGTGCTTACCTAATATGCTGCTTTCTCAAACATTTTTAGAACATACTTTATACTTGGATATACTTTCAAAAGTGATCTTAAATTTTTTAACAAGAGGGAACAAATATATTTTAAGAAAAATTACATTGTTAAAATTAAACATCAACATTTAAAATGCTCTATGAATTAAATCTTCAAATTAATTGTATTAATTTTGGCAACTATTCCAAATAAATTCATGCTCAAAAGTTTACATTTTCTTTCTCTGCAAAGTTTAATGATGCATCATTGATGAGAATTATTCTAATTTCTAGAGCTGTTGAACTTTCAACCAAGAGACTTAATTTTTTTTTTTTTTTTTAATTCAAGGGCTAGAGAGATGGCTTAGTATTTAAAGAGCACGGATAGAATTCTCAACACTCAGATGGTGGCTTACAACCTTCTGTAATACCGGGTCCAGGAGATCTAATGCCCTCAGTCTAACCTTTGTGGGCAATGTACACACAGGTACACATATACACATGCAGACAAAATACCGATATACAAAGCGTTAAATATTCATTTAAACATTACTTACAAACTAAAGGATGGTGACTTAAAGAATCTAAGGCAACAAAATCATGTGACAAGGCAAAGTAAATTTTATAGTTGCTTCAAAGTACCAGATAGGCTCCAGAACAGATCATATCAAAGTCCATTTGATGGCAGAGCCTAATCTTACATCTGTTATTTTTTTTTCCCCTTCTCACATTTGCTTAAAATATGAAGACACAAAACTTACCTTCCTGATAGGCTCCATCTGCCATGACTAAGTGCAGAATCTTGGCGTAGAGATGCTGATGCTCATTGCCCAGAATATTCTCAACTATTGTTGAACAAATTTCAATATTTTCATCTTCATCCTCATGGATAGCCTATGCCAAATTACCAAATGTAAGTTAATATGGTAGCTTCTAAAGGACAGAAGCAATCAGTGATAGTCAAGGAACCACAATAATGAACAGCACAAGTGTTCTCTAAAGGTATAAAATAGCAGCATTTACATCTTGGGGGTAACCAACAGCTGCCTATTTAGACTTGAGACCTGCTTAACAGGAGGGAAATCATGCCTGGTACTAGAAACCTGGCCGCTATATGCAGTCTGGGATCTTAGAAGAAAATCCTTTACTGCCACTTTTCCTACACTAGCATGATTTCTAACTACATCTAAGTACTCACCATTATACCCACAGTTAAGTGCAGTTCTTACCTCTCAACAAAAAAGCTTATCTTTACAATAGCAGGAGATCATTATAGAAAGAAAAACTAGTTAAAATACAGGGAATAAATCACTATGGGCAGCCCAGCCCCAACTGATATATCTGTGTATTCTTTTACAGGTATAGTTGACATCAATGGTTAGAGAAGAGGAGGCTGTGAATTTGGGAGGGGGCTTATATGAGAGATGTAAGAAAGAGAAGGAGAAATGATGCAATTAAATTTTAATAATTAATGTCCCAATACTAACTTTCCCTAAGTGGAAACTTCAGTGTATGTCTAAAGATAGACAGTGAAGTGACTAATGTTGACTAATAAAGACGGTCAACATTTCACTCCTATTCAAGCAGCACACTCCAGCGTGAATGCTCTCAGTTTACATACCTTTACTTTCTCATAAACCTCAAAGAACTTTTCAAAGCCCATTTCTTGCTCCAGGTGAAGTCTTAGTTCCTCTAAATGGTTAAAGACACTGTCATATTCACATTCACTAGTAATCTCACCATCACTATTATCTTAAAAAAAAAAAAAAAGAGGTACTTTATGAATAAAAGTAATTTTTACACTAATAAACTAGCATTAATGACAAGTGAATTATGGCTTCTTGTGTTCTACTTTCAATATAAGCAGTCATCACTACAGTATCTGGACATCAAAGCACATATTAAGCTGTCTTACCAAGGAATCTTTGAGAATTGTTTCTTTAAAGACATAAGTAGTAAATCAGGTTACAACAGAAAGATTCTCAGAAACAGCACTATTAAATGTTAGTTTGGAAACAAATGGGAAAAGCCCATTTCTATGTTCTGAAATGAAGCAGCCAAACCTATGATGAAGGCTGACAAACATGAAACAAAACATGCAAAGGCATGCAGACACAGATGAGCCAGAAGCATACCAAAACTAAGCTATTATCTTTATTACTAGAAAAACAAGTAAAGAAACGGGGAGCAAAAGCACATTAAAAATGCTTCAGAAGTCACTGCTGTAACATAACAGGAAGAAAGGAGAAACTGCTGGCATGCCTGTGTGAAACACACACAGAGACAGATGCACACTTCAGCCTTAGGCTGGAGATGTTCATATGAGACAGGAAGACATCTCCTACATTAACTGAGCACAGAGAAAGAAACAGGCCCTCAACTCTGAGCCTGTACCTGAGTGCCATTCCTCATTTAGGGCACTTTCACTGCTGGGGTTGTCTTCCTCGTCTGCCGCATCTGCCCCTCTCGCTGTCTGCTCCACTTCACTGCTTTTTAAGACCGATTCTTCCTCCTCACTGTACTCATCAACTGGTTGATCCCTAAGTAGCTGCTCCATTGAGGCCTGAAGCTCTTGTAAATCTGTGTCAGCTTCTTCAAACACACTGAAATTTAAAGAATTAAACTGAACGTTACCTAAACCTTAACTTATTTGAAATGGTGCTTCAATTCAACATGCATATGCATTCTCTCCCACTTAAAAGTTGTGGATAAATAGTATAAATAAGCCTATACAGGCTTTTGTTTGTTTTTTGAGACAAGGTTTCTCTGTGAAACAACTCTGGCTGCTCTGAATTGGCTTGATAGACCAGGCTGGCCTCCAACTCACAGAGCGCCTGCTTCTGCCTTCTGAGTGCTGGGATTACAGGCATGCGCTACCACACCCAGCCAGCCTATACATTTTTTAACTAAGGAATTGCAGATAAATACAACTGAGAAATATATAACATGAAGGATAGTCTGTGATTTGTAAACTAGATGATTTGCTTAAATTGGTCCTGATTTGCCAAAGAGAACCATGTACCTATTGGCATCAGTCCCTGCTGAAATTTGCACCAATGTTCTGTCTCTGTGTGTCCCGGGCATAAGTGGACAATTTATAAAAGCAAAGATGTTTATCATTTGTTTTTGAAAATGAATTAATATTTAAATGTTCAAAAGAAATTTGGAAAAAAAAAACTTGAAAGTTCATAACAATCTTCATGTAGATACTAGCTGTGTACTATATGCTAGGATTTCCACATGAATGGGTTGAAACTTTTAGAGACATGGATTTCAGGTCTTGCATAGTATTTGTACTTTGGCTTAGGATAGTAGAATGATGATAGTAGAATGGTGAGTATAAGTCACCAGAAATTTATCTTTGTGTATATTCTTGAAAACATTTCTAAAATATGTAATCTTCACAGGAGAATCTTGTTTTCAAGGCACTGTTCGGTATATAAATTATATTTTTGTGAGATTTAAAATGTGGAATAAATGATCTTATATGTACATAACATTTGATTTCTATGCAGTTTCATCCTATTATTTAAGTTTTATCAAAATTAATGTTAGAGACATGAAAACTCTAAACAGAAGAGACCTTATCAATGAACAACAAGCAGGACTAACCTCTTGTCCTTGAGCCCTTCTATAATAACTGAGAGATATACTCAGGACTGGTCTCTGAGGACATGCCTGAAGACCAGGGTTACATGAGAGTCTGGGTATGTGAAGACATCTGGTATGAGAAGACATCTGCTCCTAGGCAGAGGGCTCCATCTACTAGAAACAGTGGTAAGAAAGGGACAAGGCTGATGATGACCCTTTTAAACTTTACAGTCAACTCCAGATACAAATTCTATGTGAGACCTTAAATACAATTTACATTAATGGACAAAGAAAACTCATCATTTCACCTTTGATGTGATGGCTAAATGTTGACCTGCTGATAAGCCATTTGTTAGCTGGAGGAAATAATGGACAAGACACATGGACGTTAAATAAGTGAGGCTGGCCTGACTGCCACCAGAAGAAAAGTGTGAGAGGATTCAATATTGTATGAAGTCAGCACTCAAGAATAATTTGAAATCGGGTTCCAAGTTTTTAGTTTGCTTTCTTACTATAAAATCTTGAAAAAGATATGGACCCAAATCAGTTTTCAAAGATAAACAAGCAGATATAGAATAGCACTTTAAGAATAATTTAGTTACAGCTGCCAAGTTAAAAACTGTTCATCTTACTTATATTTGAGGAAAACCCCCTCAAAACCCAATTACCTTTGTCAGCCACATAGGGGCTGAATGTTGTGTTCACCAGTAAGCCTACTAAAACAAGGGACTAATGTGACTTTCCTCCAAACCATGAGGTCCCTAGTAACAAATAACCCACAGGTCTCCATGAGGAGTGATGAGCATGGGCGTTCTGAAAAAGAAGCCTCACTAGAAACTGGGAGAGTAAGAGTGTGTCAGATGCAGCAATCCTGATTTAACCCGTGGGCCTCCCGCACACTAAGCTACTCTATCACTGAGCTACAAGCCTGCTTCCCCAGCACTGGGCTCCTAACACTGCGCTTTTTCTAACGCTTCATTACAGGGCACTTTGCTTTCAGCCTCACAAGTTTGTGATACTTGTTTTAGGCAACTGGAAGGCTAAAACTGAAGAGGTCAAGAAGGGTTATTATCTAAGGCTTGGCCAACATTTCCCATAAGGTTCAAAAACATTGTTACATTTCCTTCCTGAGTTCTATATTCCCATGAATCACAGGAAAGGAATTTCTTTTTATTTTTACAAATTTATTTTTTTTATTAATTACAGTTTATTCACTTTGTATCCCAGCTATAGGCCCCTCCCTCGTTCACTCCCAATCATGCCCTCCCCGAGTCCACTGACAGGTCTTCCTCCCCTTCCCTTTGATTCTAGACTATCAGGTCTCATCAGGACGGGCTGCACTGTCTTCTTCTGTGGCCTGGTAAGGCTGCTCCCTCCTCAGGCAGAGGTGATCAAAGAGCCTGACACCGAGTTCATGTCAGAGATAGTCCCTCTTCCCCTTCCTAGGGTACCCACTTGGAGACTGAGCTGCCATGGGCAATATCTGAGCAGAGGTTCTAGATTATCTCCATGAATTGTCCTTGGTTGGAGTTTCAGTCTTAGAAAAGACCCGTGGGTCCTGATTTCTTGGTTCTGTTGCTCTCCTATCCCCTCCAGGTCTTTCTATCTCCTCCTTCTTTCATAAGATTCCCTGCACTCTGCACGAAGTTTGGCTATGAGGCTCAGCATCTTCTTTAGTACCCTGTTGGGTAGAGTTTTTCGGAGGTCCTTTGTGGTAAGCACCTGTCCTGTTCCCTGTTTTCTCCCTCTTCCAATGTCCATCCTGTTCGCCTTTCTGAGCGAGGATTGATCATCTTACTCAGGGTCCTCCTTCTTGCTTAGCTTCTTTAGGTGTACAGATTTTAGTATGATTATCCTATATTATATGTCTAATATCCACTTATAGGTGAGTATATATCATGTGTGTCTGCTTCTGAGATACCTCTCTTAGGATGAGGAACTTTTCTAGTTCCCACCATTTGCCTGCAAAGTTCATGATTTCCTTGAATTGTCATGTAGTATTCCATTATGTAAATGTATCGTAATTTCTGTATTCATTCCTCAGCTGAGGGACATCTGGGTTGTTTCTAGATTCTGGCTATTATGAGTAAAGCTGATACGAACATGGTTGAGTAGATGTCCTTGTTGTATACTTGAGCATCTTTTGGATATATGCCTAGAGTGGTATAGCTGGATCTTGACATAGCACTGTTCCTAATTGTCTGAGAAAGCGCCAGATTGATTTCCAAAGTGATTGTACAAGTTTACATTCCCACCAGCAACGGAGGAGGGTTCCCCTTTCTCCACATCCTCTCCAGCATGTATTGTCACTTGAGTTTTTGATCTTAGCCATTCTGATGGGTGTAAGGTAAAATCTCAGGGTCCTTTTGATTTGCATTTCCCTGATGACTAAGGATGTTGAGCATTTCTTTAAGTGTTTCTCTGCTATTCAATATTCCTCTATAGAGAATTCTCTGTTTAGTTCTGTACCCCATTTTTTAATTGGATTACTTGATTTGTTTTTTTATATAACCTTTTTGTTTATTTCTTTTTTTATTTTTATTAGTTACATTTTGTTAAGTCTGTATCCCAGCTGTATCCCGCTCCCTCATTCCCTCCCCAATCCCACCCTCCCTCCCTCATCTCCTCCCTGCCCCTTTCCAAGTACATATGACTCCGTTTTGTCAGGTATCTTCAGGACTGGCTGCAAAGTCCTCCTCTGTGGCCTAACAGTACTGCTCCTCCCTTGCAGGGTGGGGAGGTCAAAGAGCCAGTCATTGAGTTCCTGTTAGAAATAGTCCTTGTTCCCCTTACTATGGGAAACCAATTGATTACTGAGCTATCACGGGTCACATCCGAGCAGAGGTTCTAGGTTTTATCCATTCATGGTCTTTGGTTGAGTGTCCATCTCAGAAAAGACCCTGTGCAAGACCCAGCTATACCACTGCTAGGCATATACCCAAAATTTGCTCAAGTACACAATAAGGACATTTGCTCAACCATGTTTGTAGCAGCTTTATTTGTAATAGCCAGAACCTGGAAACAACCCAGATGTCCATCAACGAAGGAATGGATACAGAAATTGTGGTATTTTTACACAATGGAATACTACTCAGCAATCAAAAAAGAGGAAATCATGAAATTTGCAGGCAAATGGTAGGATCTAGAAAAGATCATTCTGAGTGAAGTATCCCAGAAGGAGAAAGACAAACATGGAATATACTTGCTTATATAGACCTAAAAGATATGATAAACATAATGAAATCTATACACCTAAAGAAGATAATCAAGAAAGCATCATACACGGGGGTATGATGATCAATCCTCATTTAGAAAGACAAATGGGATATGCATTGAACGTATGACAGGAGTCTACCAAGAAGGCATCTGAAAGACTCTACCTAGCAGTGTTCCAAAGTAGATACTAAGACTCATAACCAAACCCTCGGCAGAGTGCAGGGAATCATATGAAAGAAGGGGAGTTTGATGTGGAAAGGATAGGAGCTCCACAAGGACCAAACATATCTGGGCACAGGGTCTTTTCTGAGATTTGTTGGTTTTTAACTTCTTGAGCTCTTCATAAGTTCTGGATATTAGCTCTCTGTCAGATATAGGGTTGGTGAAGATCCTTTCCTAGTCTGTAGGCTGTCATTTTGTTCTGATGACAGTGTCCTTTGCTTTACAGAAGCTTTTCAGTTTCATGAGGTCCCATTTATTGACTGTTGGTATTCTGTTCAGGAAGTTGTCTCGTCTCCTTTGCCAATGAGTTCAAGGCTCTTCCTTACTTTTTCTTCTAACAAATTTAGTATTAGAAAGCTAAAAATCTTTTTAAAGCTAAAAAGCTAAAATTTATGATGAGGTCTTTGATCCACTTGGACTTTAGTTTTGTACAGGGTGATAAGTATGGATCTATTTGCATTTTTCTACATGTAGACATCCAGTTAGAGCAGCACCATTTGTTGAAGGTGCTGTCTTTAGGAAAGGAATTTTTGTGAAAGTAATGAAGTTACATGCAACACACACAGCCACCCTCCCACCCCCCACACACATACAGACACAGGGTTACATGAGCCCATTCCCACATATATGGAACAAATAAAATTACCAGTCCACCTCACTGAAACATCCTAAAATCAAACATGTGGGATATGAAATTTTCAGATATTTTCCTGACAAAGTGCATAGTATCTAATACTTCTCTATTTCCCATTGCAATGCTAGTATAATGGAAATTTCACTATTCAACAGTCATCCTGTGGAAATTAATTATTTAATTACTATTTAGTAATTACTTATGATAGTCACATTAGTATACTAGATGGATGTCAGCACATATATAAAGCATTTTTATGTGCCTTGAATGAGACAATAAATTAAAGGCAGACATACATTATCAAAAGGCTGATTATACTCAATTCAGATGTCAAAGTGATAATAGCATTTGTTAATGGTGCTGTACTTACGTGTCTTCAGAATCAGAGGGCCTTTCTTTAATATGCTCATCTTCAAGCTCATCTATTTCAAGACTGTCTTGATGAACATCGCCTACAGTGGGAACATCCATCAGGGTTCGGAAGAGCTTAGAAAGATCTGGAAGTGAGCATGTCCTCAGCAGCTACAGAGAGGTTGACAGATTGCTTATTAGGAAAAAAGATTTAAAAGCAAAAGAAGACTCTCAGAGGTAATACTAATTATAATATTTAAATCATGTAGTTAAGTCTAAAGGATTCAAAGGTCACTTGCCTGAGTTTAGAACCTAATTTCTTGAAATTCAGCTGATATACACAATATTAAATAGCCTCTCTCTATATATATACATATGTATAAACATATATATATATATATATATATATATATATATATATATATATATATATATATATCATGAGTTTGAGAGGATGTGGAAATACATGGGAGGAGTTGGAGGAATGGAAATGATGCAAAAGTACTCATGTAAGAAAATCTCAAAAAAAATTTTAAAAATTCAGCCAATGTATTTTCACACACACACACACCCCAACAACAACAACAAAAGTAAACTTGTGTGTGATGACTGGGCTCTAGCATAGAAAGGGTGGAGTGGTTGTTTTAGAGACACACGGGCCTGAAAATGTAAGCGGGCTAGCAATCAGGCAGTACGAGAAGTGCCCACTTGCTCTTTCTCACTGTCCTATAGTCCTCCCTTCAGTGGTCAACTCTCCCTGTGAGATGAGCAGAGAGCTGAAGCAGACAGTCTGGAGTGTGGTGAAGCACTATCAGGCACAGTCACCAACCTGTGCATGGCTTACTGTGAGGAGCTGCTGGCTGGCTAACACATGACCTTTCCTTGGTGTAAAGAGAAACCTGACTTAGAATGGGCTGAGTAGGGCTCTCACATTCAAATGGAAGGCTGTAAGCACAAGCTCTTTGATGCTAATGTGAAGAATCATTTTTAACAACAAAATTGAGAAGGAACTCCACTAACAGTGCTAAGAAAAACAAACAAACAAACAAACAAACAAAACCAAAATCAAAATGCAGACAATAGAGATGTTGAAAATTAAATCAGTGTTGGAAAAGAACAGGAATAACTGTAAAAGTCTCTATTCACCCAACTTTCAACAATTAGAATGTGACTAATAGGATATGAGACAAGTAACTGTAACACAAGTCTCTGGGCTGGGTTAAAGGAATCTGATATTTGAAATATAAGTACTAGGCCCTGAAAAGAACTGTGCTAAAGGGAAGGCTTTGAAGAAAACACAGTGCTTAACATATTAATGAAAACTTGTACATTTGGCCAATTGTATTAGTGCAACTTTTTCAGAGTAATAAAGGTTTCCATTATTTGAACATAGTTTATATATTGCAGCAATTAAAGGAAATGATTATCAGTTTCACAAACTGGTGAAACTGGCAAAAATGGTTTAAAAATTAGTGCTTGCTAAATGATGGCAGTGGTACTGAGGCATCTCTTTCAGTGCTCCCCTATCCCCCTACTGCCATCATGTGTCCCACATCCAGCTTTTGACTTAATAAGATTTGTGCCACGTATATAAAAGGCAAAAGTATGTACAGCAGGCAGCTTGTCATAATCTACTCAGTCTGACTGCTAGTCAGCAAAAATAGACAGGATGAATTACATAAACTTGAGAATGTCAAATATTTAGGCTGCAAAAACGTTAGCTCATCTAAAGAAATACATCTCAATTTTAATTTATTCCTTTTAATAGTTAAAATAACTTTCTTCCCTCCAATTTGCAGCCCAGGAATATAACCCTCCTGCTTCGGCCTGCCACGTTCTATGGGTGCAGTGCATACCTTAATGCGCAATAATATAACTTTTATATCCTATCATGGAATAATTGAATCAGAACTGTATTTCAAGGAGCAAATGATTTGACACCTTATCTCGTCTCAAGGTTTATATTCATTTACTAGTGTATTTGTAGGATAGACCTTTATAGATTTTATGGATCTGTTTTAACACCATCTAGGCTGGGCGTTAAATCTTCCAGCTTTGCCCTCTGTAGCATGTGGAATTATGGTCAGTATTGTCACTGGAGCTTGACTTTATGTTTTAATGCACTGCATCGTCATCCACAGTAAAACACACACACACACACACATACACACACACACACACACACACACACACACACACACACACACACACA